CCCCTCATCTTGGTGGGAAGGACGGGAATTGTGGGAACCCTGGGGCGTGGTCTGGGATATCCAGATCGTATTCGACGCCCTCATCATCATGACGCTGGAGCTCAGTGTGGTCGGAGGCATTGGATGCGATGCCAGACGAGGAGCTAGAGTCACCCTCTTGGACTGTGTGGGCGGATCCTTCTTGATAATCCTCAATCCGGACCATGTTGACGAAATTTCGCGGCTTCGACTGAGGTCGACACAGATCCAAGTGGTGTTGTATATTATACGCGTAGTTGGAGGCAGCGTTTCGTAGGCCATAGGGCTGGGCCTGGTAGTTCTCCGTCAAGGCTTCGTACTCGGAGAGCTGGAGACCCGTCGCGGAGGCTGGCCGACGACGAGCGGAGCGCCCTTTAGGAGTATATATGACCACGAGATCTGTACCAAGTCGTGCAGGACGACTGGCCCAAGCCGGTCGGGTAGATCTGTTGTGGGAAGCGGTTACCTGCTCATTAGGTCCACTTTGAATTGAACTTACCAGAGCTAGGGTTTCAGCGAGCTTGGTGCCGACCCGATCGATGGAGTCGAGTAGGTCGGTGTTGTCGATCTGCCTCCCTTTGTAGCGGGGAAGCGAACGACGGATTGTCGGCGTGGCTGAAAGCGATGTGGGCGTGGTCGGAGCCGGGTCCCCCGTGGTCGGAGCCAGATCCACCGTGGTCGAAGCCAGATCCTTTGTGGTCGGAGCTGTATCCACCATGGTCGGAGCCGTAGCCGATGCAGGTGAAGCAGCGATCGACGCAGATTGAATCCGCGCCTCCTCCGTGATCGTGGCGATGAAGTCGTCGAAGCCGGTGTACCAGGTGATCTGACCGATGGTGAATGTGAGGCCGTTCGGCGTAGCGATGAAGCCGGGGATGATGACCATCTTGTTTGCTTGGAGAGCAGTATGCACACCCCCTACCTGGCGCGCCACTGTCGACGAAATATGGTCGGCAGTCTACCCAGGGGTATGCCCAAGGTAGTAGATTGTCGGCAGACAGATGCGCAAGCCACAAACAAGATGGTGACGCAAGACACACGAGGTTTTATCCAGGTTCGGCCGCCAAGAAGGCGTAATACCTACATCCTGCGTCTGATTGTATTGATGTATGTCAATGAGAGATGTTTTTTAGAGGGGTCCCCTGCCCGCCTTATATAGTCCGAGGGGCAGGGTTACATATCTGGAAACTAATCCTAGTCAGTTACAATTGCCATAGGTGACCGGATAAGGATTCCTATTCTAACCGACCGAGATCTTGCTTGATCGCCAAATTTGTCTTGACTCCTTGAGCGGGACTCCGAACAGGTTGGCCGGGCCGCGCGTCGTCTTTTGGTGGACCGGACCCACTGATCCGAGCTGGCCCAATCTTAGCCGTAAGGGTATAGGGGTTAATACCCCCACAGTCTCGCACGTTCATGTCTACTAGTTGCTATAAAATTTCGAAATTTTTTCATTTTACTCTTGGAGGTTGCCACCTCTTAAACGGTTTGGTGGCTTGTGACTCCGTTGAAGCACACGAGAAGATTGTGCGGTACTCTGGAGGAGGATTTGTGAGGGGGATTGTGCTCACCCCGCGGGGATCGCGAAAAGCAACTCTAGGCGAGCGTGTCATTGAGCTACCCTCACTTGTGAGGTAGGTTCTTACGTTGCCCGATGTGCGGGCTTGGCGGGTGATGCCAATTAGCCGCCGAACCACCAGGTGAACGGTCGACACAACGGAGACGTAGCTTAGTGGCAACCAAGTGAACCTCGAAAGAAAATCACTGTGTCAACATTGTCTCCATTATCTTCTCGGTGGTTTGCATTCTCGTTACACCGGCTTGTATTTACTTTCATATATATTGTGCTTGTGTAGTTACTCTTGTGACTGGTTTAGTTTGTGTAACTTGCTAGTTGCCTTCTTGCTTATATAGTATAGAAGTAGCTCCTTTACGTGGCTAATTTGGTTTTAGTAATCTTGTTAATCGTATTGTTTAGTTTGTGTAGCTAAGTAATTTACGCTTTATAATTTGGCTTGTGTAGCTTTGTTATTGAGCTTAGGAGATTTGTGTTTTTGCTTACTAGATTGTGTAGGAGCTCTCCCGGTTGCCAAAGTACTAGTGCATAGGTTTGTATGACCTTGCTTTAGAATTGATTAGATGAGCTCTAGCTGGCCTGGCACTTTTGTTGCCTAATTAGGATCTTTTTAAGGTGTTTGTGAACTTAAACAGAGGGGTGTAGTCTTAGCTAGACCGATAGTTTTAATTCTACATTTGTTTCAGTTTGCCGAAGCGATTATTTTTAGAAAGGACTATTCATCCTCCCCTCTAGTCCACCATCTCGACCCTAGGTATACGTACAGCGAAACTTTGTCAGGACACTTATGTTGGCGACTCCATTTTTCGCCGCACTTCATACACAAGCCGCTCTTCTCTGAATTCTGAGGGCTGTCAACTTGTCATCCCACTTTGGCTTGGTGTCATCAACATTATGGGGACCCAATATACCCGGCTGAGTGTTGACCGGATGTTTACCCTGCTGCCTGGCAAAGTGTCTGTTGCCCTTGTTGAAATACGGCTTGGGTTGAGTTTCCATCACAGTAGCCTGCATAAGAGCCAATGACAACTGTTCTTGGTTTGTGTAAAACTATTGCAGCTCTAATATTTGGGTTAAGGCCTCAAGGGACTTATTGTGCACTAAGACCTTTTGCATGGCAGACTCAACGATCATAATACTCCTGCACATAAGTTGTTTGGTGAATTTGGAGGAGCTCATTCATAGAAATGTGATAGACGTCCTGTTTGCTTAGGCTTGTTTGGCTGATAAACCATGGCTGAAAATACTGTTGACTGATTTGGTGTGAGAGAAAAATATTATTCATTAGTTAAAAAAATACAACTTGTAACTAGTCTTTCTCCCTCATACTATCTTCAAATTACTTGATTTTTTTTCCTAAATTTTTGTAAAATCATACTTTATCAATTTATTGTGTTATTACATCTAATATTTTGGTCATCGTTTCTTGTGAACATTTCAAAATTTGAGTTTCAAAAATAACAACTTCAAACAATATTTTGAAACATCAAATGATTTCAGCTGAAGAAGTCATGAACATAAAAGTTGTAGAACTCATTAAGATCTACAACTTTTATTTTGGTCATTTCTTCATCCGACAGAGTAGTAGTAAACATTGTTCACAAATAACATATCTTATAGTTTCATAAACTATATGAGAGGTTTATGAATTTGTGAACAATGTAGACTATCACTTTGTCGGATGAAGAAATGACCAAAATAAAAGTTGTAGACCTTGGTGATTTCTACAACTTTGTTGTTGATGACTTTAGCAGCCGAAATCATTTGTTGTTTTCAAAATCTTGTTTGAAGTTCTCATTTTTTGAAATTTAAAAGTTGCATTGTTCAAACCAAGTCACATGAAAAGACCTCGGATGATCAAAATAAAAGTTGTAGATCTCGATAATTTCTAGAACTGTGTAGTTGACAACATTTTTATTTGAAATCATTTTATCACAGAAAACTACGTTTGAATTTCTCAAATTTGAAATTTGAATTTTTTAAACATCCTCGGATGGAGAAACAACCAAAATAAAAGTTGTAGAACTTAAAAAGTTATGCAACTTTATAGTTGACAACTTTTTCATTTAAAGTCATCTTGTCAAGGATTTTCAAATTTAAAATTTGAATTTTTCAAAGGATCTCAGATGGAGAAACAACCATAATGAAAGTTGTAGATCTCAAAAAGTTATGCAATTTTATAGTTGACAACTTTTTTATTTGAATTCGTTTAGGATCTCAAATAATCAATTTAAACTCAACTAAGGATAATATGTGGAGAAAGAAAATCCACTATACACACGAGTGAGTGTGAGGTGCAGTGGTTAGAGGAGTATCGCGCGAGGGGAGGTTGCAGGTTCGAATCCAGCTAGTCGGGAAGTGCGCGAAAAATGCCTTGACTTGTGAATTTGACGGAGCGGGTGGGTGGGCCTCCCCGGATAATTTTTTTTGTTATTTTTTAGCCTGATTTGTAATTTTTGAAAATCATTTATAGTAGCAGTTTTCTTAAGAAAACACTCAGTATAAATCATTTATAGTGGCGGTTTTCTTAAGAAAACAGCCAATATAAATTATTTGTAGTAGCTGTTCTCTACAAGACGCCTGTGACGAAGTTCACGATTTTCACTGGCCTTTATCACTGACGGTACTGATAGACGCCTGTAGAAATAGCTTTGAAACCACCGGTAGTGAGCTCTGGTGTACTAGTGATCACCTCCCAAATATGAATGAGTACTTAATCTTGCCAACATATATTGTAACACTAGATTACTCCCTCCAGTCAAAACATGCATAATTTACGATATCCTCTTGGGTTTGCACTTGCGCCCCTCTGCGCGCTAAAATATTTTAAAGACTCGTCAAGACCGTCTGTGATGCAGAAAAGGAAAAAAAGAACTCTCAAATTGCATTGGTCCAGTGAAAATGGTTCGGTCATTAACAAGCGATTAAATGCAGCACGGCGCTCGAATCTATCACCTCAACTCAACTGCAGCAAAATGCAGTTGAGATCGGAACAAGTCAACTAATGCCCATGATTGATCCTGTGATCATTTCAGATTAGCTGCTCCCACATGTCCACATATACGGCCTGTTCGCTGGTTGATTTCTAGGCTAATAAGTCCGACTAATACTAGTTTATTGTGAGAGAAAAATATTATTGACTGACTAATAAGCCATGGCTGAAACCAACAAATGAACATACTGAAAATCAACGCTCCTGCAGCATCCAAGGCAGTACAAAAGACAGGAAATGCCACCATGCGCTGGTGATGATTTTTTGTCATGTACTACTTGCCTGCACTTAGAATTTGTGTCGTATATGTCCTTCGCTCAAATGAATTCGATTTTTTAATTGAGATTTTGCGGGAACGTAGGCCATAACCATACCTATGGCTGTGCAGTCTTTAAGAATCACTGTATTTTCTTTCTAACATGTGATCTTCCAGAAAATTAGGAGCTTCTGGATGTGTTCTCTAACCATGTCCAGTTCCTTATTAGCGAAAAAAAGAAAAACATTTTCAGTGTTTTGCAAATCTGTATCGCTAGCCCATATGCACCCATAAGGGACTGTTTGGAAGCCTGGTATTTAAACCAAAACACCTGTAAATTACAGGCCTGAACCCAAGTAGGAATTAGTGTAAAATAAAAATCACCTCCTCCGGTCCGAAAAAATAAACGACATCTATCGTGCAGAAGTTGCCTCTCCCGTCGCCGCCGCCTCTGTTCCGGCAGCCCCGCCCCCTCTCCCCCAAGCACCAGACGCCACCACTTCTTCCCTAGCCGCACGAGTTCTCCGCCAGATGCCGCCGGCCCTCCATTTTGTGTCGCCCGGAGCCCCGAGGCCAGACTGACGGCGAGATCCTGCCCCGCCGCCGCCACTGGGCCCTCAACGCGACGCGATGCGGGGCAGCCGCGGAACCGACGACCCAGCCCAGCGGTGGCCATGGTCGTGGTCCGCCTCGACGCCATCGCGTCCCTGTCCTTGCAGACCTCCCTGCGTGGCTGCGCCTCCGCGCGTGATATTGCAGACGAGAGGGAGGGAAGGAGGAGCGGGAGGCCGAAGCAGAAGAACCGCCGCCTTCGCTCGGCAGGCCTGTCAACACGCCGAGAGATGTCTGGTCTGCAGTGCAGAAGATGTACATGCATACTGCCTTCTGCTCCATCTCCAGATCCGATTGCTTCATGTAGTTTGGTTGGATGATTGTGTGCCATGATTTTGTTGCAGTTGCAAAATTGGTGGTTGCCAATGCTTGCCATTTGGTACCAAAGGAATCTTCTGTTGGTGTTTTGATCTGAATTTTTTTTTGCCTCAAATTTGAATGTTGATCTGAAATTATTTCAGATTTCCTCCAATTCAGTGCTGTTTTTTTGTTGATTTCATCGTTTGTGCAATGCTCATACTTACTGTGGTGTAATGGTAACAGCTTTCCCAAACAGCAGCTTTCCAAGGGAAAAATAATACCTATACTTCAGGGGTTTTCATGTGCACAAGACAATACAGGTGTAATGCAATTACATGTGAAAAGAATTCCAAACGGGGCCTGCGTGGCCGAGCCAAAGTTTCTTTTCTTTTTCACTTCATGATCCATTGGCATAAGGCTGCGTTTGGATCCCACCCAAATTCTAGAAGCTAGCTTTTGAAAGCTGGATTACATAAGCCAGATTTTAAAAGCGGAACGGTAGACTGTTTGGATTCACAGCTTCCAAAAGCTGAGTCAAGCTAAGTACATAGTAAAATTACGAAAATGCCCTTACTCTTTGTAGGTTCCACTGCACTACATATGGGTAGAATAGTCTTTTAACATCTAGAAGTTAAAAAAGCTAGGTTGGTTCAGCTTCCCAGATTGTATAATCTAGAGCTGTGTAGATTGTATAAGCCGGTTACAATCTGGAGCTGTTTGGATCTCACGGGAGATTGTGGAAGCTAGCTTCCATAATCTGGAAGTATCCAAACAGGCCCTGAAACGAGTATCCTTTAGCCCACCTTCTTGGATCGAAGATAAAAGTGGCGATCCTTGCAGGCTCATTAAATCTGTATCCCAGACGAAGGCCCATATATTCTTTGCGATCCAGTACGCCCAAGTGACCCGTTGTTGACTCCCCCGACGTGCTGAGACTGAGCATGGTTTTCTCGGGCATGGCAGCCCAACAATCTTGTGGCACAGCAACTTTGCACCATTTGCTAAAAAAAAAAACGGAATTTCTAACCGTCTATCGGCTGTTTTTTGGTTTTGTCGTCAGTGGATTATTTTGTACAAGGCTTTTGTGTATTTTGTGGGCTGGTTTATCTTCGTGGGCTAGTTTCCCGTTGAGTCCGATTATTATTGTACATGGCTTTGTGTCTAATCGAGTCTGAATGCATCCAGGTACCTAAATTTTTGGCGTAAAAAAAAAGGTACCTAAATTTTTCGAACTCCGCGCCCATTGTGTTTCCGCCGTGGACTCTTTTCGTTTGCTACCTGTGTTATTTTATTCATTTCTCTCTCTTTCTCTCTGAAAGTATCCATCCCACTCCCTTCGTCCTCCCTCCTTGGGCTTCCTGTTCATCTTCCAGAAGCGGGTGGGATGCGCCGCTTTTGGCTATAGCCGCGGGGTAGTGCCTATGCTGTAGCGCCTCTCCCCTATCCTCTGAATCGATTTATCACCGGTTTTGGTTTTGGTGTCTGTCGATTCATCTCCTTCCCTAAATCGTCTGGTGGAAGATCTGGTTTGCCTCCTCCAACCCGCGCCGTTGTTTGAGAGTTCGTTTGTGCTTTTGTTTTCGCAGCGCAGGTACTCTCCCCCCTACCCGAATCCTATGTGCTTGTAGTTTGCTTCCTTTTTTTGTTTTCTGAACGGTTTTGGTTTTCCATGTGCAGGCAATGTTTCCTTAAATTTATTCAGTCGTCTATCAATCAGACAGTTGTTTCTGCAAATTATATATCTTGATTCATCGGATTGTAAAGGTATTTTTAACACGATCTCATGCCTTCTCTCCCTCCCCTGAAATATGCAAAAAAAAATCTGAAGCTCATATCCCTAATCTGTGTGATGTGCTCTAAGTTACTGTGGATCTATATTGTTTTTAGTGTCCACTTAGCTCGGATCTGTAGTGTTTTTAGTGTTCACGGTGGGTTGGATTTTTTTGGTATTCTAGTTTCAGTTGTAGTTACTGAACCCATCCTGATTCAGTATTTCAGGTTATTGAGTTTTAGTGTATTATGTTTGGCACTCGTCTGCTGCTTTTGCTTGTTTTTTTTGTGTACCAGAGATGTTGGTTTAGTTGTGTGTGCTCGGCATCTGCGCTGCTATCCGATCCATTGCATTTCGTGAGCGAGACTTTGCTGTGACTGTATGTGTGTGAGAGGATGAATAAATAAACAAGGAGAGGAAATCATCGGTCATCAGCTTTAGTAGCAGCATGAGCTTGCGGATCATCAACTAGTGGTTCTGGGTTGGCGTACACCTCTGCTTGCTTGAGATCCTCTCCTCATGCAGTCTCTCGTTGCTGGTGCTGTGTTCCTGTGTGGTGTGCTTTTTGTGTGTTTCTGTGTGTGAGAGAGAGAGATTAGCTACCTATGCATTATATTGACAAATAATTCATTGCCGCTATACTGCTGCTAAATGTTGAGAACCATGATGAGTATTTGCTTTATCTTTCATTTCATTGGATCAAATTTGTGGATATGGCTTATATAGTAGTATTTAGCAATTGATACTACTATTTCGTATGTTACTTATTTTTTTGTAGGCGCCAGTGCATCATATATATTTTGTTCAGCAGGAGTTTTACTTTGTTCTTTTCATTTTGTCCCTAGTCCAAAGTGGCATGTTGCCTCTCTCTGTCTAGTTAATTGCCAGAAATTAGCCATGTTTTGTTCCAACAAGCAGAATTTTTGTTTAAGTTTTGTTCGTAAGTACATTAGGATGACAGTGGTTCAGTGAGTTTGAGAAAATTCATAGTAGTAGCTGACTGAGGTTAGTGTGTTTTTTCATTCCCTGTGCAATGTAACTTTCTTGATACAACAATCTACATTTATAATTCATTGCATACTTGCCTGTTGTGCTTGTTTTTTTATGGTTGTTAGTTCCTTCTATTAGTTTCCTTTTTTAGCTTCAGCTTCATGGATGCTCGGCCCATTAGCGTATGGGTAGCTGTAGCTTATAGTTGCAGATCCATGTCTCACTGGTTATTACCTGAGACTTTCAGTTGAGTTATTAGTTTACTCTAGTTTTTTTTTAGTTTTTTTCAGTCTTAGTTTAGGTTTCAGGGTACCTAGTGACGACATCCATTGTCAAAGGATTAGAAAGTTCAGTTTAATTCCAGTAGAATTTATTTTCAGTTTTACTTAGTTTCAGTTCAATCTCAGGTTAAGTTATTTATAGCCCATTTTTAGTTTAAGTTCAGTTGAAGTCCAACAAGTTAAGTTTAATTTCAGTGTAGCCTATTTTCAAGTTAAGTCTTGAATATTAATTTCTTGTTTGCATGTTTTTTGGTTCAGATTTCAATTTAATTTTCAGTCTAGATTTCAGCTTTTAATTTTCAGTACTGATCGGGACCGATTTCTCGGTTTGGTGCGCGCAGTTATGTCAACAACAAGTTCAGCAATCAGGCCACCATCAGTGTGGATTTTGTCACCAAGGAGGTCCAGATCGACGACCGCCTCTTCACATTGCAGGTCTGCTTGCTTCGTCTTCTTACCATTCATTTAGGTTTCTCTTTCACTTGCCTGGGGATATCTATCTCCCATGATTCGTAAGCAAGCAACGGAGGTAGTGAATAGAAGGAGCAGCATCATGATTTATATTTGTCTTGTGTCCATGTTGCAGAAGCAGCACTGAATGCACATCTGAAATCTCACAAGTTAAAATATTGGGTATTTGGGTTTATCAAGGATAAAAAAGGCGACGCCTCCTCCCCGCCTAGGCGCGCCTAATCGCTGGGCGATGGGGTCCCGCCTGGCCTATGGGGGTAGGTGGACCCCTAGGCGCTCCCATCCCCGCCGGACGAGCTCCTCCCCACCGGGCGCTTGCATCCCCGCTGGACAAGCTCCTCCCGCCGAACGCCCTCCTCCCTGCTCACATCACCAAGGAGGCTCGTTGTCATGGTAGGCGTCGACGTGGTCCTCGTCATTGGATAGCGTAGTGGTGAACTCCACTGTGCGCTGCTCGTTGCGGACCGAAGCTGCCGGTGCTGATCCTGAAGGTGTGGGCGCCGATGTAGAAGACAGGGCATGGCCGATGTAGGAGAGTGGGGCGTGGCCAGTGCAAGAGAGTGGGGTGTGGCCGGCGGTGTAGGTGGTGGAGGACTCGCCGGAGCTGGTGGTGAGCCAGGTGCTGGGGTAGGCGAGCTTGGTGAAGAAGAGCTGCTAGCTCCCCCCACTCCCTCGAAGTGGACACAATCGATGATGAAGTCTCTGAGCGTCAGAAGTTGAGCCGTCGTCCACCACCTTGTCCCACGTCCAGCCTCGCCCTTCATCGAACACGACGTCACGTCGTAGGGTCGAGTAGGCTCTACTATTTTGAGGCATTGAGCCTAAGAGCTCGTGTAACTTTTGGCTGTGTATATAAATCCCAAGCAGATATAGAGGCTGGATTTTATATCCTTTATTTTAAAAAAAAGATCTGAAACTCCCTGGGACGTCAGATTTGGGAAAACAGCAACCTTGATAAGATGTCATGTTCTGGGTTTGGATCGAAATGACCGAACTTTGGTAAAATCCAACTATTTCGGTGAGACTCGAAATAACATCATAACAACAAAAAAACTTCATTTAAATTCAACCTTTTTGTCAAGTCTAGAGTTCAAATAAACCTTCAAATTCTTCTTTCAGTATAGAAGTGCAAACTTATAAAGTTATAGCTCATTTGTTTACTCTTCAAGCGTTTTTATCAAAATTTGGCCAAAAATCAACTAAATATTAGCTAAATATGAACATTTTGATGCATCAAAACAAGTGAATCCCAATCCAAGTTATGAAAATTTTTGAGATTCACCTATTTTGGTCAGGTCCAAAATTTTGTCATTTGAATCCTAGAACCCTACAAGACTTGACAACCATAGAGCTGGTGAGCGTCAATAGTGGTGGCATTGGCATTATTCAATGGAGGCAGAGGGCAGGCAATGCTATGACGCGATATCCGATGTAGAAGCCACTGGTGGCAATCTTCAAGATGGTTGCACGAGCTCAAGAGTAAGGATGTCACCAGGGCGGATTTGGATCGGGTGGAGTCTCAGTGTGAACACTGACTCATGTGGAAATCCATCCTCAAAACCAAACCCGTAGATCCCCAAAACCTGATGGATCCTCCAAAACCCGTACATGCTCACCTCCAGTCCGCGTTCCACGCCGTGCATTGTACCTGCTTACCTCTGACCTCGCTGGGTGTGCCAGCAATAGGCCCCTTTCCCCTTCTAGGCATGCACGCGCTGCAGTAGTGGGTGCTCGTGAGGGCGCGAGGCAGCGGGTGGTGGTGGTGGCGTCAGCTGCCAGCAGCTGCTGCAGCAGGGTGCACCGACCCCCTGCTAAGGCCAAGGTGCGGAGGCTAGAGGTGGCTATTGGGTGCCGGGTGGGGATAGCGAAAGCCGGACGTAGGGTGTTGAGGTGGGGGACATGCCTGTGTGAGTTCGAGAGAGAGAGGTCGAGACATCGAGCCGCCTGTGTGGCTGCGAGTCCTATCCTTCATTTGTGTGTGCCGTCGGGTGGGGTGGGTGACAGAGTGAGGGAGAGGGATTGAGGGTGGATGAGAGAGTTATATACCTAGGATTCTTAATGGGCTGCTAGTAGGCTACATTGTTTCGGAGCCCCGATGGTGATCCGCTAGTACAAATGAAAATCCGCCCCAAATCGCTATGTTTCGGGTATCCGAACTTGAAAATCCATGGGCAAAAAATTGCCCCTGAATCCAACACCACTAGACCCAAAACCTATGGATAGCCACCCTAGAAGCACCCATTGTCATCCTTACTCAGGAGGGCCCACACTGGGGGCAAAGGCACAACCATTGTCCAATGAAGGCGAGATGCGGCAGCCAGTCAACGAAGGAAACGACTTTACTTTATCTACCAAGTTGGCAAAGTTTGTGGGCACGCGGACCTAGAACTTCAACCAGGTATTGATGCTTCTTCGCCCTCCCGCCCCCTTGTAACTGCTTTTCTT